AGAAAGTGAGGGTAGGGAGGTACTATGATGCTCATTAGAATTGTGTGTCACTTATGCATGCGCTGCAAAAACCTTGGAAAACTGGAATGCTAAGGCTTTTATAGTTGTGCTCTGGGAGTGTGTGTGTGTGTGGGGGGGGGGGCATGCTTTCATTAGAGTGGCTCCGAAAGCCGCTCTAATTAAAAGTGCCCAGAGCATCATGTGTATCAGCATCCCCACACTGAAAAATGGCAGCAGGGGCACTTTAACTAAAGCTCGTTCAGCCATTTTTCAGTGCAGAGATGCTGATGCCCGTGATGCTAGGGTCTACTGGAGACTTGATTAACTGAGTTAATTGATAGCTCGAATTATTTTACAGCAGGCTCCCTGCACGTGTATAGATGCTCCTAGTGTTGGGTAGTCTTCCCTTGCATTTGAGAATTCCAGCTGTCTACTCTTCTTAAGCCATCTGTTGAAGTCCATCTTTTTATTAAGAGAAAAGCTGTAATGATGCAAAGATGTGATGCACTAAAAAGCAATTAGTTTTTTCTCCTTGGTCTAGAGCTTAAAATAGCACATCTGAGGACTCAAAACAGTAATTCTCGAATTGTTGCCTTGTAATTGATGTGTAGGAACAAAAAATCCTGTTAAATGATCATAAAATAACACACTGTTGTTTTACTCAGGTATGTTCCTCCAGAACAAGCAAAGGTGGTGGCTTCAGTCCATGCATCTATATCGGGGTCTTCTGCAAGTAGTACAAGCAGTACACCTGAGGTGAAGCCACTTAAATCTCTTTTGGGAGAATCTGCACCAGCCTTGCACTTAAACAAAGGCACACCTAGCCAAGTGAGTAACTAGTGAGTTAGGTTTGTGAGAGTTTTATATTAATTTAATAAAGGGAATGGTAATGTGAATTGATCATGTTTTTACAAAATAGCGAATTGTGGCATAAGTGGGATACTTGTAAAAGGAGAGTTATCAGTAGTTTTCATGTTCTTTTGTTTTTGTGGTGTTTCAAATTGGGGCTGAACGTCTGAAAACTAAACTGCAGTTACTTGACTTTTTAAGAACCTCAAACTAAAATGTATAGCCTGTTCCATTCACAGCATGCAATATATTTGCAGCACTGCTAAAAATCCTTAAGTTTTTCATGGACAAGCTTTTGCTTAAATGTTGTAGATGGGGAAAACAAGTTTGTGTTGAGTGGTCCTCCCTTGTATTCCTATTGGAATTGAGAATCTCTCCTGTATACTCTTAAGCCATCTGTTAAACTCCATCTTTCAATTAAAGGAGGCCATGGACAAGACCTGTTTTCTTAGTCAGTGTTGCTGATGTAAGTAGTGAAACTCCATTTCACCTAGTATTTTTCAATTTAGCTCATTGTAAAGACAGCTTATTGTCATAGTTTTTCTTTCTAAAGTGTGTCTAAATATTTTAGCCTGGCATAGAATATTTCTTCAACTGTCTGTCTTTAGAGTTAGTTCTGTAGATCATCTAGTTGCTTATTTTTAACTGCCATAAATATATTGTGTATGTTCACTATTACTATTTTGTATATTCTGAAAGAAAGTTTCTTTTATTGCCAAATGAGGTACAGAGAGTCCATTAGAAGAAATGTGTAATGAAATGTAGTATGTTTATAATATTACAGGAGTAGTAAAATGTTTTGAACAACTTTGGGGTGGTTTTAGTCTGTAAAAAGGGTAGAACTGAGATTTGAATGCAGTTTTGGAATTTCCTAACTTGAAGTTTTAACCTTACAGTACTTGTGCCCTGTTTTAGGAAATCCATTAAATACAGAACTTTAAAAAGAACTTGGAATTCAAACCTATAAGTCTCTGAAGCACTGCTGGCTTTCAAACAGTTGCAGATATTGCATACAATTTTCATAATTTGGACCTTGTTATAGACACTGATTTTTTTTCTGTGTAGAAGGCAGCTTAGTTAGTGGAGATCTGCAGTTCCCTCAGTTCACACCTTTAGCCTATTTTGAAGAAAATGCTTCTGTATACTTGCAGAGGGAAGTGGGAAGAAGGACTCTGCCACTTCTTCAGTGTTATACACTCTGGGTTAAATCACCTTTTTAAAAGGAGCTCATTGTTTTATTTAACACAATTTTTCTATGGCTTGCTGATCATGGTCAGGCAGGAAAAGAGTATTAAACTGTTCCAAAAGTAACTTATTCAGTCTGTCCTTATAGTTTCTTGTAAATATCCTAAGTTGGTAAAATATTGGCTTTCCTATTTAACTAATTAACATGTTGTTTTTAGTCCCCTGTTGTAGTTCGGTCTCAAGGACAACAGCAGCACGAAAAGAAGCAATTTGACCTCCTCAGTGACCTTGGCTCAGATATCTTTGCTGCTCCTGCTCCTCAGTCAACTGGTACAGCAAATTTTGCAAACTTTGCACATTTCAACAGTCATACAGGTAAGATTGCTTTATAGGCTTTTAATTTCAAATTATAAATATGAAACTAAGCAGTTTTCTTTCTTCGTGGTGTATAGGTAGGAAATGGCCATACTGTCTATATCAGCGATTCCCAAACTGACAGATTGTGCACCACCAACTTAACCATCCAATCTTAAGTACCACCAGCAATTCTTTCAGTTCACCCTTAAGTACCACCAGCAAATTTTTTGTCATATAAAGTAATTATAATAAATCTGTTAATGAGTACCACTGACGGTACCCATACCACAGATTGGGAACTGCTGAGTTAATAGTGAAATATTACTATTCCTTGGGAGTGTTCAGTTGTATTAGTTAACATCTTATTTATAACGTGATGGTAATCTAATGGCATGATTTCTTAAGTTTTATAAAGATATATTTGATTAAATAAAATGGTGGTTTAGTTCCTGTTAATATATAATTTGTAGTAAAAATGGTAGTAAGCTTTCTCCCTCATGGAGGGGAAGTAAAGAACTGGAGAAGGAAACAAGGAATCAAAAGTTGTGAATCACTACTGAGCAAGATGTAAGAGAGGACAACTGAAGGAAGAGTGAGTAGGACTTTTCCTGAATGGCCGATTTTTTGATTCTGAAGAGTAGTAATAGCTGTGATGCTCCATATCTGTCAGCCACTCATGGCAGACGTTGCTACTAGTTAGCAGGGTATATCATAGAAGTAGGGTCAGAAGGGACCATGTAGATCTTCAAG